CCTCCCTCCCTCCCTCTTGCCCTCCTCCCAACGCCCCTCGGGTCCGTCTGTCTCTCCGCATTTGTCTTCTTTGCTCGTGCTCTGTCGAAATTTGCCGGGCCAAAAGGCGCTGTGCGGCGCGCGCGGTCGCAGCGCGCCATCCGTCACGGTATCGACTGTCACTCGTGTGTCATTTGGGGGAGGGGGCCGGGAAGGCGGGGGGAAGCCGGGCGTGGAGGGCGAGGCCGGTATTTGAATCCGCAACCACGAGAAATATATATCGCCGTTTTCTTTTATTTATCTTGGTGGTTTGAATCAAGCCCCTCGCCCCATTCCACCGCCCCTCCCTCCCTTTCTCTCTCGCCTACGCTCGCTCTCCCCCCTTATTCCCCTCCCTTTTCCCTCGATGGACAGGGCTGCTCCGCCGCTCCGAGAGTGGCGGCGTGCGGCGGGGAGTGGGGGCTGTGGGGGTTGAGGTGGCACACCGTAGGGAGTAATCCATCTTGCTCTCTCATTGGGATTGCGGGGAGGGGGCTGGGCGGGGCGTGACGCGGCGCGGCGTGGAGTGGCGTGTCTGCTGGTGACCCTATCCACCCCCTCCATCCCCCCTCCCCTTCCCACCTCCCTCCCCCCACAACCCGCCGACACACTCGCTTTAACAACTTGAATAATCCTAAAGCGAGGCCCTGCTCGGCCCCGGCCGGACAAGCTGCAGGAAAGGTCGGGACAGGTTCGTCGTCGGCGCGACCGCACCATTGTGCTGACGACGCTCATGCGCTCGGTATGGGTGGGAAACAACAGTTCAGTGTGCACCGAGAAAATGATTGTTCTAATGGGAATTCCTTTGTTTCAACGGAAACGGAAATTGCCGTTCATACAACATGATGTAATTTTTTCGTTACATTGAAGGAGCTTTCTGTTTTAAGATAAGGCTTGGGTAAAACTGAAAAAGTTGGGCAAAAAACAGTGATTTTAAAGTTTAAAATCTACATGCTAGTGGAATCGAGGAAAAGCTCTCTTTATTACTTGGAGTTAGTTTGTTGCGGTTTTTTTAACAACAATAATAAGTCTAGGTCTATAGTTGGACATAACACTGTGCGCAAGAACTTTTTTGAAATTTAATGAAATTTTCACAACTTTAAAATTAGTTCTTGCGTACATTGTCCAACTATGGACTTATTATATGTTAAAAGAACCGCAACGAGCTAACTTAGATCAATGTAGAGGGATTTTTCTTGATCTTACTAGCATGTAGATTTCAAACTTTTAAAAATCACTGTTTCCTTTTAT